TAGCCAGAGAGATGTGCTACTGATGTGATACAATACGAAGGACACAACATCACTTATGAGATTTTCTTGCCAAAAAAGTTCAGCCTAAAGTGAATCAAGCTTATTTTCTTTTCTTTTTTTTGAGATAGGGTCTTGCTGTGTCTCCCAGGCTGGAGTTGAGTAGTGCGATCACGGCCAGCACCTCAACCCTGCAAACTCAATTGATCCTCCCACCTCAACCTCCACAGTAGCTGGGACTATAGGTGCCTGCTATCATGCCTGGCTAATTTTTTTTTTTTTTTGTAGAGACAGGGTCTGGCCATATTGCCCACGCTGGTCTTGAACTCCTGGGCTTAAGCGATCCACCCACCTCAGCCTCCCAAAGCAATGGGATGACAGGTGTGAACCACCACGCACAGTTCGAATTAGATCAAAATCAAGCTTTTTAATCTAACTTCCAGTTCAAAGGAAATATAAGGGATAAAAGCTAAATGTGAGAATGCCATCAGACAAACCCAGGAGGGGAGACAGTCTACAAACCAACTGGCCCACCCTCTTCAACAAGTAGATATCATGAGGCAAAAAGTAGTATGTGTGTGGAGAATATTCTAGATTTTTTAAAATTAGGAAGGGTATAGTGGCTCATGCCTATAATCCCAGCACCTTGGGAGGCCAAGGCAGAAGGATCGCTTGAGCCCAGGAGTTCAAGGCCAGCCCTGGCAGCACAGTGAGACCCCATCTCTACAAAAAAAAAAAAAAAATTAGTTGGGCATGGTGGTGTGCACCTATGGTCCCAGCTACTTAGGAGGCTGAGGTGAGAGGATCACTTGAGCCTGGGAGGTTGAGGCTATAGCAAGACATGGTTGCACCATTGCATTCCAGCCTAGGTGACAGAGCAAGACCTTGTCTCAAAAAATAGTAATAAAAATTCAAAAAATAAAAACATATAGCAATGCAATGTATGTATGGTATAGCAACACTTTGGAGGGAAACAAACCAAATTTCTTGAGGGGAAGAAAAATGTTTGTGAACCTAGGACTATTTTGTAAAAGGAACACAGGGGGTGATTTTCTATACCAGATATTAGAATATAACACAAAGGTACAGTAATTAAAACTGGGTTGTGTAGAATCAAACAAATAGATCCATAGTGAAAATAGAGCCCAGAAATATATGGGAATTTACTGTATGACAAAGTTGGCATCAGACTTCAGTGGGGCGGGAAAGATAGACTAATAAATGGCATTGAGAAAATTAGCTAACTATACAGAGAAAAATTAGGTGGGATCCCTACCTCATATTTTAAAAAATATAACCCAAATATCTACATGTGAAGGGTACAACTATAAAATTAATATGCAAAACACAGAAAAATATATTTGCATCCACAACATAGGAAAGGATTTCTTTTTAAAAAGACCAAAAGCACACAAAAAAGGGTCATACAGGTTGAGTATCCCCTATCCAAAACGCTTGGGACCAAAGGTGATAGATTATTTTGGATTTTGCAATATTTGCATTATACCTAGCAGTTCAGTATCCTAACTTAAAAATCTGAAATCTGAAATTCTCTAATCAGTATTTCTTTTGAGTGTCATGTTGGTGCTTAAAATGTTTCAGATTTTGGGGCATTCTGAATGCTGAATTTTTGGATTAGGAATACTTAGCCTGTAATTGCTAGATTTGACCATATCAAAATGAAGGATTTGACCATACCAAAATAAAGGATTCTGTTCAATGAAGAATACTATAAACAGTTAACAGGTAACAGATTAGGAGAAGGGTTTTTTAAAAGACTAAAACAGACAGAAGTCCTCCCTAAGATACACAAAATACACAAAGAATGCCTACAAATCAGAAGATAAAGAACCTCAATTGTAGTAAATGGGGAGAAGGATATGAATATGCAATTCGCAGAAGGGAAAACTTGAATGGTTAAAAGATATATAAAGAGGTGGTCAATCTCACTGTAATCAGATAAATGTATATTAAAACATTTCTATGTACCACTTTATATTCAAGTTAGCAAAAATTAGAAAGCTGGATAACATCCAGTCATGACGTGAATATGGTAAAGCAGTTACTTTTTCAGGCACTGGTAATGGGAGGCTAAACTTTGTAGCCATTCTGGAGAGTGATATGCAGAACCTAATTAAGCTAAGTCTCATATACAATAACACAGCAAGTCAATTCTTGGGCATACACCCCAGAGAAAGTATTCCACAGTTCTCAAGGGAAAAAACACATACTTTCTGCAGTGTTGTTTATGATGGTAAAGCAAAGAGACAAAAGGAAACTGCGTGCATAGCACTGGGGGAACGGATAAGTAAAATGTGGTACATAATAGGATACAGTATATTAGAAATAAATACTAAATTTGTATATAGCAACATGGAATAAACAAAAGACATACAGCACTATGCCATTTATGTATATAAAGTGTGTATACACAGATATGTGAAACCTTGAAAAACAGAAGATAATCTGAAGGATGTATGTTAAAAATTCAAAAGTGGGCCAGGCATGGTGACTAACGCCTGTAATCCAAGCACGTTGGGAGGCCGAAGAGGGCAGATCACGAGGTCAGGAGTTCGAGACCAGCCTGGCCAACATGGTGAGAGCCCATCTATACTAAAGACATAAAAAATTAGCTAGGTGTGGTGGCATGTGCCTGTAATCCCAGCTACTCGGGAGGCTGAGGCAGGAGAATCGCTTGAACCCAGGAGATGGAGGTTGCAGTGAACTGAGATCACGCCACTGCACTCCAGTCTGGGCGACAGGGCAAGACTCCATCTCAAAAATCAAAACAAAAAATGAAAAACAAACAAAAAAAACTGCAAAAGCGGGCACTTAATGCATTAGTGGGAATGAAAATGGAATTAGATATGAGAAATGAGGGACACATACACAAACTCTAAAGAATGGTCTTTCAAGAATTAATGATGGAGATGGGCCATTGATACAGTTTGGACATCCCCTCCAAATCTCTTGTTGAGATATAATCCCCAGTGTTGGAAGTGGGGTCTACTGGGAGTTGCTTGGATCATGGGGGCGGACTCCTCATGGTTTCGTTTAAAACTGTGTGGCATCATCCCCCACCTCTTCCTCTTGCTCACTGCATGAGACATGCTGACACCCCTTTGCGTTCTGCCATGATTGGAAGCTTCCCGAGGCCTCGTCAGAAGAAGTCAGCACCATGCTTCCTGTAAAGCTTGCAGAACCATGAGCCAATTAACCCTCTTTTCTTTTGTTTTGAGACGGTGTTTCACTCCTGTTGCCCAGGCTGGAACGCAATGGCCAGATCTCCGCTCACCACAACCTCTGCCTCCCGGGTTCAAGCAATTCTCCTGCCTCAGCCTCCCAAGTAGCTGGGATTATAGGCACGCGCCACCAAGCCCGGCTAATTTTGTATTTTTAGTAGAGATGGGGTTTCTTCGTGTTGCTCAGGCTAGTCTCGAACTCCCGACCTCAGGTGATCTGCCCACGTCAGCCTCCCAAAGTGCTGGGATTATAAGCGTGAGCCACCCTACCTGGCCACCTCTTTTCTTTATAAGTTAACCAACCTCAGTATTCCTTCATAGCAACACAAAGAACTAACCCAGCCATAAATTAGGAAATATGAACACTTTGGGGGTGGGCAGATCATGAGGCCAGGAGTTTGAGACCAGCCTGGCCAATATGGTGAAACCCTGTCTCTACTAAAAGTACAAAAATTAGCCAGACATGGTGGCGCAAGCCTGTAGTCCCAGCTACTCACGAGGCTGAGGCAGAAGAATTGCTTGAACCCAGGAGGTGGCGGTTGCAGTGAGCTGAGATTGTGCCACTGCACTCCAGCCTGGGAGAGAAAGTGAGACTCAGTCTCAAAAAAAACAAAAAGAAAGAAAAAAAGAAATATGAACAAGTGAGTTCAGTGAAACTAAAGTCTTAAGAAGAACATAAAAGAAAAAAAACCCTATAGGAGAAAAACAAAAGCCAATGCACAGAAAAAAAAGGTAACTCAAACAAAGGCTAACAAGCAACTTGGTTTAGTTACAAGAAAAAGTGTTCTGATTCATTTACTTTTAAAATTGCATATTCAACATAAGCTTATTGAATAAATACATAAAATTAATATACTTCAGTCTTCAAATTCTACAAGAAAAGAAAAGGAGCTGAAAGAAATAATTAAGCTGACCATAAGAGTAGCCAGCCTTTTCACCTTGAAACCTTTTAGAAATATCAGCTCTAAGGACAGTTATGTTGCAGTTTCACAACAAGCATAGAGCATTTACAATCTCCAGTATTTGTCCCCTGGACTAGATAAAATAAGCCCACAAACTAGCCCTAAAATGTTAGGTCTCTAAAGGATAAAGGCCATGTTAAACTAAACTACTATGTAACAGCACCCAGCACAGAACTATTTTAAGTAAGCATTTGTTCCTGATATGTAACTAGATTGCCTGTGTACCTCTACTATTTCAGCTTTTTTCGTCTAGTACTGTTATCAAAATTAATAACCCAGAAAAATAGTAAGATTAAGTCAAATCACTGCCAAAATAAGCTACCAAAATTATCTCCCTCATTAGCAATGACAGCAGAAGGCTATAAGTTTATCCTTCCAATCCTGTACCTTTGAATATTAATATATTTTGCATACTAACAATATAATTTTATCTCTCTCTAATCTCCAGAAAGGAATACAGAGTTCAGATCAGGAATCCCAGTTATCTTTGAGCTTAACACAGTATAGCACACAAAACTTGCTTAACAAATGTTTGTTGAAATAAATTACTGATTTAATAAGAGAAGTCAATTGGTAGTTCAGCATATGTTAATAATTACTCTTGCAGCTCTTTTGAACAAATAAAATAACCATGTACTAGCATATCTGGAAAAAAGACAATTCCAAATAAATTATAAGATTAATAATTTTAGAGACACAAGGAAAATATGTAAAATACATCAAGTCAACCCACTCAGTATGTCTGAGCTGAACAGAATCTATGCCTATCTCTTATAAATGGATATATTCTTAACCTTACCAATGGGGGATTCTGGAGTTAGCCCCATGCTTTGAAGCAATGCTTCAGCTTCTCTTCTTTTTTTTTCAAGATCTGATTCTTCTTGCACAGGAGCAACAGCTTCCTTCTTCTGATCAGTCTAAAATGTTTAGGTTAAAAACTTACGTTTACATATAGTATGAAACATTTATTTGCAAAAATGTTTTAAATAATATGCTAACACTGTATACTTTTAAGGCATGAACTTAGTTTTGAGTACAGGTTAAGTTTTTTTATAGTCATTAAATGAAAATCATTCTCAACAGAGTTCTAGTAAATAACCTCCAAATGGTATGTACTAAACTGCTCTATTTTATATGTAATCAAGGAGTTTCCACAAAAATTTTCCTAACAGATACACTCAAGAAGTACAGTCAACTTCAAATTATCTACAGTATGAAATTGCTGTCTATGGTTAGGAATAATAGACAATTTTCCCCAAGTGGCACAAAAGGTTAGATACAATATCACATACAATGAAAAAATTAAAGTGTAATTATTTAAGAGGTAACAAATTTTAAGTAAATGACAATATTTGTTGAAAAACAGTCTCACAGACTTCTGTATAATGTCTTCATTTTATTTGGGATTGGGTTTTGTAAAATTAAACTCACTTTTGCATAGCACAAAACATTTTGTTATGAAAATTTTTGCCAGCTTTTATCTCAGCCATTTGTAGTTTTAGCACAATCTTCTGGTTAAACTAGATAAACCTCAATACTCTCAGATCATCCAAGACATCTCAAGTAAAATGTAAGCTTTCCCAGGAAAAGTTTTTTTATGTAAATCTCAAATCCCTATGCCAACTAGACAACTATTACTCAGACATTGTCTGGAGTGAATTTTGTTAGCCATAACATTCTATACCATTTTGACTTAAAAGTCATCAGAAAAATTAATCAAAATAACAAAACAGGTTGTAGTATCAAGCTGATGCTTCACTGTTGATAAAAATATATTAATAGACTCACAGTTTAATACCATTGTGTTATCTCTTATAACATTTTTATAAACTTTGTTTTCTCCCATTGGTCTGTGTGACTCAATAGTTTTATAAACTTTAAGTTAGGTATAAATCATGCAATAGATATCCCTTAGAAGCCACTTTTGCCTGTTATGGACATCATTAGAAAACAAAAATGAAATCTGCTCTCAGCACAGAAATGTTTAGGGTTATAAACATTTTTTTGGAATAGCTCTGCCAACCTGAATCATGCTTCTACCAGTCAGCTTTTAATCTAATAGCTACTGTAAAGCTCCAACCCTCTTATAATGTATCACAGAAAGCTGCAGAATAAACTAGCAAATTCTTCAATTATAGGCCTTTACAGCATCATAGCAAAGCTGCACATAAATTGTACCTTCAACTTTTCTACTACTTATTTTTCTCTTAGTCCCCAAGAGATAGTTCTGGCAGTCTTGGCTATTATTTATGCTATCATATATAAAAACTTGGTCCTAAAGACACACAGGAAAAAGTACCTTACGCTAGCTATTTAAAAGATATCTGCAGTAAAAGTACACAGATACGTCTAAAGAGTTTCCATAGGGATAAAAGTATATTTCAATGTAGGAACAAGTAAAATGTCTCCAGCTCACGGTCAATGTACATTTGCTGTATATAACGTGATGCATATTTCTGATACAAAAAAATCAAAAGAAGTACCTGGTCCACCTTTATGGTACCATCATACCTACTACTCGGTAAAAATACTTCAATGACTAACTCATAAGAGATAAGAACAAATCCCTTAGTCAATTAAATCACCTATTATGTATATTTTATTTGCCATTAATATTATCCATTCTTACAAATTAGCAGTTCAGACTAGCAAAATATTCAGATAAATTCAAAGTCCAAACTAAGTTATGATATATATATATACCATATTTATAAGCTATTATAATATAGATCTCCTGGCTGAGTGTGGTGGCTCACGCCTGTAATCCCAACACTTTGGGAGGCTGAGGTAGGAGGACTGTTTGAGCTCAGCGGTTGGAGACCAGCCTAGGTAACATGGCAAAACCCCGTCTCTACAAAAAATACAAAAATTAGCCTAGCATAGTGACATGTGCCTGTAGTCCCAGCTACTCCAGAGGCTGAAGTGGAAGGATTACCTGAGTCAGGGGAGATTGAGGCTGCAGTGAGTTGTGATCACACCACTGCACTCCAGTCTGAGTGACACAGTGAGACGCTGTCTCAAAAAAAAAAAAAACTCCAAAACAAAAAAAAATACAGATGCACCTTACTTTATAATAAATATACTCCTAGAAGACTAAATATGTAAACTGAACTTTTATAAATGAAATTTTAGAAATGCATCAATCTATATGAAATTGTTTTTAAAAATATTTTATCTGTTTTGTCATTTTCACATATCTTGCTTCTTTCAAGATTCACTTATAGTGCTATGTCTGCAGTCAGAACTGCCAGATTTTTAAGTATCCTGAAATTATTAGGTTTGTGCAAAAGTAACTGCAGTTTTTGCCATTACTTTTAACCACAATTACTTTTGCACCAATCTATATGTAAATACATAAATATGTGAAATAAAACACAATTACTTCATGTTGTTTATTTAAGAAAAAAATAAAACATACTTCTTTTTTTTTCCTTTCTTCTTCTTTTCTCTTCTTTTCCTCTCTGATTTGGGCCAGTCGCTGCTTCTTACGTTCCAACTCAGCCTTTAATTCACTTTTGTCTGACATGTTTGTGACCTTAGAAACATGTAATCGTTACATTAGTAAAAGCAGTACAGTTGAAAAAAACTAGTGTTCCAAGAAGAGAACTGTCCCAAAAGGCCATATAGTTCAATGCTATCTCAAAAGAGCACAAAAATCTTACTTTTAAAATAATGGGGCTGGGCAATAGCTTACTTTGGGAGGCTAAAGTGGGAGGACTGCTTTCAGGCCATGAGTTTGAGACCAGCCTGGGCAACACAGCAAGACCCCATCTATACCAAAAAAAAAAAAAAAAAAAAGGCAAGAAAAATAAAAAATTAGGGGGGCATGGTGGCATGTGCCTGTAGTCCCAACTACTTGGAAGGATTGCTGGAGCCCAGGAAGTCAAGGCTGCAGTGAGCCGTGATCATGCCAAAGCACTCCAGCTTAGGCAGCAGAGCGTCTCTAAAAAATAAACTTTTAAAAAATAAAATAAAGGAAGCATATATATTATTACTAAGACTTAAAAAATGTATAAACAAATATATATAATACACCTAGAGTAGAGCACAGTAGCTAGCCTATAGTAAGCACTTTAATGTTTGCATACACAATGTCTCAAAGTTTTTGATGACAATATAGTAGGTACCCAAGATAAAGGTCAAAACTGGCTCTTAAAACAGAGGACAAGGTTTGGCATTTAGAAGCTCTTAAGCTATATGACAGGGATCAAAACTATTACCAATTCTATTGCATTCATAGAAACTTGACAAAAAACAATAGGAAGTCAAACTGAAAATTTCTGTAAGTTCTAAAAGTGCTGTAGTAATACTAAAGACAAGCAAAATGCCAGAGTTACCATCATTAGCTATCAAATCAAATGACTTTGTATTTCTCCACAACAACACCTTACCTATATCTTGTGATGGCACTTTTAGTACAATTATTTGTGGACATACCTGAAATGTTCCCTATTAGATTGTAATGTACTTGAAATCAGGGACTGTTTTTTAGTTATTTTTGTCGTCTTCACAACATCCGGCAGAAGGATCTTAACATTACAGTTGACACTGGCTAATGAATAATAGATACGGTAGACAGAATTACAAACTGAGCTTCAAAAACCAATTGCATTAACACTACTTCAGCTTGAGTTTTAGGAAGAAGCAATGAATTAGGATTTTTTTTTTTAAAGTAGCCTAGCAGCTGAGCGTAAGGCAGGAGCCAGGAACTCGTTACCTTTTCCACAGGATTGACTTATTGCCTAATGGTTAATCTCTTTCAATGTCCCTGTACAAGTGAAGTATTAAATGCTTTAGATCAAGAAAACTAGGAGAATAACCTCTGACAGTTTTGTATTCCCAGAGGTTAGGGAAAATCTCTTAAAAAGCACAATTGTTAAATCTGAATAAAGGTAAGTCAGTCAAGAGGAGAAATTCACCTACTAACAAATGGATAAAGCAAATTTCAGCTACTAAACTCCATTAAGACTGGCAAGCGAATTGACAATTTTCAAGCATACGAAAAGGATGAAAAGTTGACATGGCAGACCCTGAAATACATACACAGTATTTGTTTGAACAAACTAAAAGCAAGTGACCGTGTTTCTTATTCCACCCTTTCTACACCTCTAAACAGCTCCATCCAAACGGCTGGTGAAGAGAACTTCCATACGTAACTGTATGCTACGCTAGGCATATTATGCTTTGCTCAACGTCAACTGTAAAATAGATATACCAACACTAATTGATATTAAAACAAGCGCATTTTTAGTTAAAGCCCAACAACAAAGTCTTGACCAGCTGAACTATAGCTGACCAATCCTCTCATCCTCACAGAAGCCAGAGCCTTCCTCCATGACTGACATGTTCACGTTCTTAAAACTCAAGAGAAGAGAGACTCTAGAGTTTTGTGCTAGAACCTCCGTGTTCGGGGACTTTCCATCACACTTAAGGTGAGAGGAGACCCTATCAAGGCAAGTAGAGATGGCCTTAATTTGTAAAATGGGGCAAGGCGAAAAGGAATCACCTTCTCCCCTGGGGTCACCGCCAGGAGAGCGCGGTCCAGGGCAGGGAGTCCAGGAGAAGCCAGTGGGCGCCGGAGAAGCCTCAAGGCTCCCCAGGCCGCCTCTGGAGGGTCGAGAAGGGAAAGGAGTGGACTCCTCTCGCCGCGCCGCCCTGAGTCAGCGCACCCGGGTCTCCCCGCCTTTCCTCCCCAAAGCTGGGCCGGGCGGGGCTGTCAGCAGGAACTGCCAAGCCGCCCTTCGAATTGCGACGTGGAACACAGGCGGGGAGGCCTTGAGGGATCAACAGTCAACCCACCTGCCAGGTGACTGGATGAGGAAGAAACCTCCCGCTTGCAACTTCCCGGTAACGTCTCTCGCCTAAGCCCCCAACACCAACTGTAGCCACCACCAGCTCCGCAGCTTTCCAAAGCACACAAAGAGGGATGGGCGGCGGCTGCTACGGCGAGAGCTTAGGGACAAATATCCTCACCAGAACGAGGTCGCTCCCAGAAATAAAAGGTGGGGCCCTGCTACGAGGAATTATAGCTCCTCCGTGACTTACCTGTCGTAAAGCAGAAGCCGGTAGATAAAACAAAGAACCCAGCAAACCCAGGGGCCTTAAATATTTCCGCTTTGCCAAAAACTGGAAAACTACGCCTAATATCCTCGGGCCAGGAATCCAACTACCGCCCTTGCCTTACAAACTGACACGACCGGGAAGAACTACAAGCCCCGGCAACAAGGAAAATCTGCGTGCGGCGAGCAGTGCATTCTGGGAATTGCAGTCGCTGGGCGTTGCAAGGTGTGCTGGGACATGTAGTGTGTCCCCTCCTTTAGGTTTCCAACTCTAAGGCCTTCTTCCGTTGAGAAGCTTCTCTGTATTCTCGTCTATTGATCCGTGCGCACAGTGTAGTATGTGTTGTAGTGTAAGATCTTTGACCCAACATTGGCGGAATTTTAAGAAGGGCTATTTTCCAGTCGTGAACCTGTGAATCACACTGCTGCACATTTGGTGAAGACACGAAGTAGACTTTTTAGGATGTAAAACATATATATATGTACATACGATGTAAGTTTTAGGGAAAAAATGTCTTATAGAGGCTTCATGTGGCATCTTAGGCAAAATCTAAATAAAAATATGTCAACCGACATAGCAAATAATTCTTCAGTATTTTGTTGCAGTGTGGTAGCATTTTGGTTTTCTCTCAAAGAATTTTAGGAGGTAAAGCATTTTGTACTATTAGACTCTCAAACCAAGCTAGAATGTTTTTTACAGTTAGATTTTTAACATACAAAGAAAAGTTACTGGAACATGAATTTACCAGCAATGTATGCGTTGATACACCTTTTTAAAGTTTAAATAATTTAAAGCATTATTTGGCAGGAGTTAAAGCTAACATCAAGGCAATATCTTTCCTATGTTATAGAAAACTGATTGTTCTAGAAGTTCTAGATATTGCCCAAGTCTAGAATGAACCTTTATGATTCAAATTCCAAGTCATTGGGTTTGTGGTCTTTTTCTTACCTTTTTCTGTATTATCTGTGGTCTTTCGTATAGAAAAAAAATCCTAAAAATGAATTTGAGAAAGAAAATCCTTGGCTTTCCACGGCTTTTCCCAATAACCTAACATTCAAAGAGCTTTATAGCTATGTTATTTTCTTACTTCTTTCCTAATATTTAGTTTTCATTTATTAATTTGAAAAAACTATATTATTGATTGCCTACCATATGCCAGGAATGGTGATGGGTGCTGTATTAAGAACTAAAATGGACCAGGCGCGGATGTAATCCCACACTTTGGGAGGCCGAGGCAGGCAGATCACCTGAGCTCAGGAGTTAGAGACCAGCCTGGGCAACATGGTGAAACCCCGTCTCTACAAAAAATTAAAAAATTAGCCGGGTGTGTGGCGTGTGCCTGTAGTCCCAGCTACTCACGAGGCTGAGGCAGGAGGATGGCTTGCGCCTAGGAGGCGGAAGTTACAGTGAGCTGAGATCGCACAATTGCATTCCAGCCTGGGAGACAGAGCAAGACCCTGCCTCAAAAAAACAAAACAACAACAACAACAACAAAACTGCGCATCCTTCTTCTCAAGGGAGAAAGACAGGACACTCACTCAACTAATTATGGATGGCGTCTGACTGATAGTTTAACTTACAATTTTTTTTTTTTCTCATTACGATGGGCTTATTAGAGTAAAATGCATTTTCAACATATATTTTCGACTTAAAATGGGTTTATCAGGACATAACTCAAGGCGCATCTCTATAATGATGGGATTAGGTAAGGAAGTCATAGAAACACCTGGAAAAACTTTTCAGGAAACTTCTGGAAGGAGGTGGTTCTAGAGCTAAGTCTTTGATTCTCAGAGGCTGTGTAGAAGAAGTTAGCCAAGCAGATTCAGAAAGGTACCTTGGGAAGAGAAAAAAATATGGACAAAGGACAGAGGTGTGAGAGCACAGAATGCTGGTGAATCTGGAAATAATTCACAGTGGCCATAGGCTAAGACAGGAACTGGGGAATGAAGCCATAAGCAGGGGCAAAGTCGCACATCCCAGTTTAGATTTAGTCCTACAGATTATGTAAATCCACTGATAGATTTTAAGCGGGTGCATGGTGTGATAAGGTTTGCATTTTAGGTAGCTGACCTTTCAAAGTAGTCTGGAGAAAGACTAACATGCTGGTTATTTTCTTTGCCCCCCAGATTCATTTCCTGCCCTTCTCTGCTAAGCTCTATGCCTCTGAGGGTTGACCTCAGTTTCTTTAAGGACTGCCTTGTGATTGGACATAAAGAAGGCCAAGGCAAGGATATCAGAAGGTGGGTAGAAAGGGAAATTGGGGCGTCTCTTCCTTGCTCCTTCCTTCTTTGAGTGTCACATGTCCGGCAACAGCTTCATTCCTTCATGACTATAGTAGCTGCCAGATGGCTCTTTCTCCATGGCTCTAGTTTTCGCCGGGCTCTCTGGTGATTTTATGTTCTCCTTTTATCTCTTGAACACCTCCTCTGTAGCTAGTCTCTGAGTGCCTCATCATCTCTTGTTTGTTCCCTTACTACCTGCTCACCCCTCTGTAACTCGTCATTTCATTAAAGTATTTTCATATGAACTATCTTGTGAATTCTGTTTCTTGTTGAGACCCTTATTGATACAGCTTGCCTAGAGGGATGAGAGGTGGAGAAAAGAGGTAAGGTAGAGACTGGAAGCAGGGAATGCAACTGGAAGACTTTTGGGTAGAGCCAGCATTTATAAATGCATGAACTAATGCATCATCAGTGAGAATCAAGAAAAGCAGATGGATTGGAGAGATGTTAAGATTATGTGAGACTTCTACAGCAGTAAAACAGACTAGATACCCCTTCCCACTGAAAACCACTAAATATGCTGACTGGATAATATAGCTTTTAGGTGGGTACAGTGGCTCTTGCCTGTAATCCCAGTACTTTGGGAGGCCAAGGTGGAAGGATCACTTGAGCGCAGGAGTTTGAGACCAGACTGGGCAAGATGACAAAACCCCATTTCTATGAAAAATTTAAAAATTAGGTATGATGGCACTCACTTGTAGGCCCAGCGACTTGGGAGGCTGAGGGCAGGAGGATTGCTTGAATCCAGGCATTTGAGGCTGCAGTGAGCTATAATCACACCATTGCACTCCAGCCTGGGTGACAGAGTGACATCCTGTTGCTTAAACAAATAAAATTTTTAAAAAATGTTTTAAGATATAAAATATGTAACTAAAAAACCCCCATGTTTTTGTTGTTTTATTTTTAACACTTTTTTGAAGAAACCCATTATCAGCACTGATTAGAAAGACTGTACACTGGACATTACATAGTTCAAACCACTATGTCTTCCTACTTTTTAAGTTGGAAGGGCTGGGGAGGAATCCTAATAAGCGTATGTGCTGCAGGGTGTTTTCGAAAGGGAGAATTTGCATTTTAAAAATTCTTATAATGGTTTGTAGGAGAGGGTAGAAATATATACAGATGAATTTGTTGAACAAATTCATATCTGGATTTACATTTGAGTTCAATATGCCAATGTTTGCAAAATTTTAATACAATTAATATATTGACATAATGCAGGATTTCATTTATATAGAATGCAAATCAGGTAAAACTAATGAAATGTCAGAATAGTGGCTATTGAGGTATAGGGGTATTGATGGCAAGAGACATGGGGAGGCTTTTTTTCATTTCTTCATCTGGTGAGGGTTACACACATTTACATATCTATAAAACATTCATCGACCTCTACCCTCAACATGGGTCCTTTTTATTGTATGTATGTTATATTAAAAAAATAGTTAAGAAAAAAGTAGCTATTAAACCATGGGACTTAAACAAATGTATAAAACATCAAAAAGATGTAGCAAACACCAAATTGGAAGAGGAAGGAATTTGAAGGGGTTAAAAATGTATTCTGCTACCCAGCAGTTCAGGCATCTCAAAATATTCCAGGAACTCTAGTACGTCCCAAGTAATCAGCTAGAGCATCTGTAGCCATTTGTTGATAACCTTGTTATATACATCCTCATCATACAAGTTTTTAATGAAATTATGTTGTGAACAGAAAGTTGTGGCTCCATAGCAATGCATGAAACTTTCTAGTAATTATACTTTCAGTGTTCTTGTGTAAATGTCACTTGATTGGTTTATAACTTTCCTAAAATGACATGTAAAATTTAATACACACATTCTTGTGACCTTCTTACCATGCAAAGAACATATTTCCCAGGACCTTTTCATAAATATTGGATCATTATTATTTTTTCCACATTGTAATCAGAGGCCCTCTAAGATTTCACTTTGGTTAAGTTCACGAGGTTTCTACCAGATTGCCTGTGGAATCTTAAGATTGTTCGTTGTTCTCATGTTAACAGCTCTGAGTCACTTGTGTTTTTAATTTTTTTCGAAATATTTCCACTTCACCTTCGGGAAATGTATTTGACCCTTTTAGAAACATTGGCATAAGAAAATATTTTCTTCCAACTTTGGAAACTATCTTGACTTTCCCATTTCCTCTCATGTCTAAGAGAAGCTCTTTAAGAAACTATCTTCACTCAGGGGAGTGTTCATGAGCCAACCAGCAAATCTCTGATAATTTAACAGCATTACTTTTCTATTATCCTTATTATTGTTCTAGTCTGTATTTTTCCCTTTGGAGTGTTTGCTGCATTGTTAACTTAATATAGGTTTTTTTTTCATTATTACCTCTACTTGTCTTGATGCACATATTTTCTCTCTTAGTGTCAAAATAAGGTGATGGTGAATTATGAGTCCCTTCTGAGCCTAGAATACTTTTGTAATCTGGTAACCTTTGGCATGAAGCACATATCCTAGTGAATGATGGAGCACTTAAGAGTGATTCGCCACTGAGCATTACAGAAAATAGGCTGAGGGGCTCACAAATTCAAGGCAAGTTCCTTCTACTCAGCATGGTGTACATACTGCACTCTCACTTTCCTACCCCCTATTATGTGGTTAAGAGAGAGGAGATAATGATGGCTTCTTAAAGTTACTGATAATGCACTAAAAAAAACTCTGTTAGGTGTAATGGTTTTAAAAGGTAGAATGAAAACACAGCTAGGAGATCAACACAAAAGGAATCATTTTCTGATAGAGATGGTGAGCCTGTGCTCTTGATAACACACACACGCAACTCCCATTAACTATAATGGGAATTATGAGTGCCCTGTTAAAGGAGCATATACCCCCAAAATGTGGTAGGGGGATACTCTTTCTTCACCAGAGTTTCTTGTACTGATTTAGTTTCTTACGGTAGAA